ATATCCTAATATCTTAATGTATCATCCAAGCTGACATAGAAGTTTTCGACTAAAGGGAAGAACATGGAAGTAGCTTTACAGAAACTGTGGGTCTTTGATTTAGAGTCTTAAATGAAGAGAGTTTTCATGTCACTGCATGCAACTTCATTGCAACTCTGAGCTTAAGAAGCAAAATGTTTAAATGAGTGCTCAAAAGAAGTTGGATTTCTCAGAAACAGTGACGCTTCTGAAGTTGGTGAAAGTTGTGTTCTTATGTTACATTTTTGGCTTTGAGAAGCTGTCTTTTAATTTCTCTTTTGCTGGAGGTGGTACATACCAAAACCAGGCTGCTTTGATATTTATGGTATCTTGGCTGATTTTTTTCATATCTTCCTGAAACTCTTCCATGTTTCTTATTCTTTCTTGTAGTTATTTTAGATGTACTTTTATGTTATGAGACTATCACAATTCTGGCAGCAGAAAGCACTTGAGCTAATGTTCATTCTAGAATTAAAGTAAGATTTAAAGAGAACTTCTGTGAAAGGCTGAAGAATGTTTTGGAGGAAAAAAAAAAGCCATTAAAACCCTTTTATCATTTGCCTTGAGATAGCATTAAGGGGATAGAAAGGGTAGCATTTACTGTCATTAATTTCAGTGGGGTTTTTTGTGTGATTAAACAAAATAAATTCTTTCTTCAGCAGGTGAATCTCCTATTCCATCAGTTTCCTCAGGATCATCTTCACCCCTTTCAGCTGCTTCTGCACCTTCTAACTTGAGCCAGCCAAAAACGGGTAACACAAATCAAGATCGAAAGGTACCCCCCCCTATTGGGACAGAAAGACTTGCTAGAATTCGACAGGGAGGATCTGTCACTCCTACGCCCTTAGGAACCAACTTCACAGCTCCAGTTGGTCATAGTGGCATTTGGTCATTTGGAGTTAACAGCATATCTGGTAAGTCTATTTTTCGTGGTCTGGAATTCCTTGAAGAAACTTGTGGGGCCTTTTGAAAATAGTACATTTGAAAAGGAAGTTGGAGAGGAAAAGAGAGAGGTGGATGTAGTGTATCCCAGAAGGAAAACTATTATCAAATGGTGTAATTTTCAGTAATGTTCACAATGCAGATATTGTGATTTTTGCTCCTAACAGAGATGATTCTCACTCAATCTAGATCATCTCTATGAGTAGACTTGTAAACCCTGAAAAGTTTTTTAAAAAGCTATATTAAAGTCTGTTGAGAATTGTAAACATAAAAAACTTTTACTTACTTAGGGAGTCCATCTCCAGGTCTGAACCTTGGCATTGAAGGATAGTTGCCTTCCTCCAGGCTTTTAAGCTTGTTTGCAGACACTTTAAAAGCTGTGGTGCATCCAGAAATGCATAGTTGTGAATGCTGATTTTACATTGTTCCTTTGGATTTGTGGAAGTGCATGAAGCTGTACACACTCAGAGTATCTTCAGTCCAATCTAATAGTCCATTTTCAATCTTGTTCTTTCCAGAAGGCTTGTCAGGTTGGTCTCAGCCTGTAATGGGGAACCATCCGATGCATCAGCAGTTGTCAGACCCGGGCACGTTTTCTCAGCATCAGCCAATGGAGAGAGATGATTCTGGAATAGTGGCTCCCTCAAACATTTTCCATCAACCTATGCCAAACAGTTTTGTGGATTTTTCTAAAGTAAGTCAGAGAGGGATGAGTTTGGGCTGTTGAATGACAAATTACTTTTTTATTCGAAGGATGATTTGTGCAGTTCAAGCCTAACAGATTGAGTTCATGATGCTGCATCTCTGTGATTGGTTCGGAAAATAACTGGAAAATTTGGATAATGTGGGAGTTTCACTGTGCTAGTAGACATAGGAGTCTGTAGCATTGATTCTGAGAGACAAGTTTATTCTACATGCAAATGTATTTTCTGTTTCGCTGCTTTACACTGTATGTCTGTGCCTCTTCTACCCTTTCTTGCTGTAACACCTAGATCTACTTTCATCCTAGGACTGTCTTACTGACTAGAAAGGATGCTAAGCCCAGAGGCACACTTAACCAAAATCAGAATTTGCAGATTGCAGATGTTTCCCTGTTTAGGCACTGGATGCCTTCATCAGTCTTTACTTTCCTTTCTCGTAGACCCAGTCCCTTGGAAATGATAGCATAAGGCTGGCTGAGCTCTAGAGCCTGATTAAAGATAGAAACCATGTTTGTTTGAATGCCACAGGCCTTTCTTAAGAAAGTGACAGGATGAGAAAAATACTTGCAAGTCTTCCCTTTGTGTATTAACACTGGAAAATAGCTGGAGGCAGACCAGCATAGCCAAGCCATAATCAGCTCAGCCTCTGCTGGAGGAATGTCCGGTGCTATGGGCTTGACAGTGAAACTGCTTTTGCAGTGTGTTTCAGAAGTAGCTGTGGTATGGCTATCTTTGCTACTAGTAACTGGTTCCCTGGTGCTTGTGTTTTCTCTTCAGGGCCTACCAATTTCCATGTACGGAGGCACTCTCATACCCTCACACCCTCAGCTAGCGGATGGCCCGGGAGGCCCTCTCTTTAATGGGCTTCATACGCCAGATCCAGCCTGGAATCCCATGATCAAAGTTGTCCAGAATTCAACAGAATGTACTGATGCTCAGCAGGTAGTGTAGTTGCATTTTTCCATCTTTGTTTTTGTGGGGCTTTTTATGGTGTTATGCTTTGTTTTGCTTTTTTTTTTTTTTTTACTAGATGTCATTTTCTCCTTGTTCTTTGATACTAGAATGGAGATTGTGTGATTTTTTTTCACCCATAACACGTGTTTAATACATATAGTGGTATCAGTGTGGAAACTCTCAGGTAAAATGGTGAGAATTCAAGAATGCTCAACAGGGTAATAGCTCTTGTTGTAAGAGGCAGGGTTCACACCCGTGCTTGTTATCTTGCAGGTTGTCAGTCAAAACCAGGCCAGAGCTGAAGACAGCTCCCAGTGCTTGGACACTCTGGTTATATTTTAGGAGAAGCCTTAAGCTTACCCTCTAGTGGTTAAATTGGTCTGTTAAAGGAACCTTTATTTGTTTTCATAATAGATTTGTCTTTCTATTTCTTGCTGTAGATTTGGCCTGGCACCTGGGCACCTCACATTGGAAACATGCATCTCAAGTACGTCAACTGATTTAAGGGGTTTATCCTTTTTTTAGTCTTGTTTGGGAAACCTTATGATTTGAAGAACCCTGGGGATTATTTTTTTTTTAATGTGCCTAACTAAGCAATTTTTTGTGGGCTGTGTAACAATGAAAACTTGATTGCCCATTTTATAAGAACAAATTGATTTACCTGTAAAATTGATTCCATTCTCCAGTTAGTTTAGCCATTCTGAACTTAAAAATGAGATAAAATTAATGCTTTTGGCTAAACTACTAAATGCTATTGGTATACAGGAGAGAACTAGATAATTATATGATTTCAACCTGCTAAGGTGGTAAATAAGTGTATAATTGTTTACATACTTGAAAGGAAAAGCTGAGTAAATTTCATGTCCTATAGTGGCTCTACTTTCTGTAGCCTGTATTAATGTGAAATATTTACCTGAATATTCAATAAAAGGTGAACAGTATTTATAGGTTGTGTGTGAGAATTTTGGGGAGGATGTGTATTGTCATTGGTAGCTGCCATGCCTAGTGATGCATCTTTTCACAGTCACATCATCAGCATGTGGTTGTAGTCAGGATTTGGGGAAAGAGGGAGAGGGTTTTGATCTGCAGTTATTTGTGATGCAAAGTTTGCTGGATCCTTCCTCTGCCAGTCTTGTTGTTTTGGGGTGTGGTGCTTTTTCTTCTTTGTGGCCATGGTTATGCACTTTTCTGGGTTGGTTTTGTTTCTTCTAGTGCTTTTTTTCCAGATATGTTGACTGAGGTGTTGTTCAGGGACTGACTTGACACGTTGGCAACAGTGGTGTCTAAATTTGTCATAGGTAAATCAGTGTCTCGTAGACAAATGCAGGGCTTCTTCACATCATTCTCCTACTGCCCCAAAGCAAATATTAGGAAAGCAGACTACTTTCTACTAGAGAAAAGATGTCATTGTGCAATTTCAAGTTTTTTGTAACCCCTTAAATCTGGTAAGTGTTTCTCACGCCTTTTCTGTGAGGAAGAAGAGGATTTTTGGATACAGCAAATGAGACAAACCCTCATTCTGCACCCAGCCTGATTCTGGTGTTGGCCTGCACTGGAGGCCTGCACTCTAGAGGCGTTCCACTTTGTACTTTCTGCTTTTGCTCAGTGATGATGCCGCAACTACACTGAATACTTGGTCTGTTTCTCCAGCAGGTAAATACAGTGCACAGTGTTCAGTAAATGGACCATTTTTGATGGTCTTTTAGACCAGAGGGGAGATGGAAACTTCCCTACCTTTCTTCTTCCTCCTTCTGACCATTCCTTACCATAAAACATCAGAGTTTCTCCAGGAGGAGCATGAGGAAGGAACAGCCAAAAGAGAGGATTCAGTGTTAATTTGCATGGAGTGAACTCTTGAAATAATGTAATGGTGTCTGTTCTCAGCCCCAGTTAACTCCTGAGTGTTCAGGAATATTAAAAATATGAAATGCACAAGTAGTATCCAAGTATGATAGGCAAATAAACATCAGAAACAACACTGGATGTGTTCAGATGTTCTATCTAGTATTCAAGAAGGAAATGATCTTACTGACACCCTGATGACACAAATATCAAAGGAGAAATGATTGTGTTGATGGTAATTGTATTAAAAGCTGATGGTGAAGGAAAAAAAATGGCATTCTAGTGCAATAGCTTTTGTGCTGACTCAGCTGACTGTTCTTGGGTACCCTTGGAGGAGTTTCAGTTGTGACCTGCTGTTCAGCACCCTGCTTAGGAGCTGGCCTCACTTTTGCATTAGTGAAGAGCTCTGCTGTAGGCATTGTGATTGATACCTTCTGCTGGCCATCAGACACTGTGCAAGAGAGGGCAGAAAAGGAAGGCTGCCCAGACTGGCAGTGGGGGGGGTGGGGGGGGGGGGGGGGGGGGGGGGCTGCTGCCCTGCTGTCCTCCTCCTGGACAAAAGCTGGGCTTTGTCTTGAGCAGGAGCAGTGCCCTCCATCGCTGTGTCCTTGCCTGCTGCAGGCTGCCCCAAGCTGGTCCCGGTAAGCCTCAGGCAGCTGTGCTTCTCTGCCTCACAGCATGGCTCTGGGTAGCACAGGGATGCTGTGGAACAGGAAGCCTAATGTTTTGTTAATCAGAAGGCTGTAGCTGCTGCTGAGGCCATCGCTGCCATCATGCTGCCTGTGGGAGCAGGCAGAAGCCTTGACTGGCATTTGAGGGTTGTGTTGGTGGGAGATGGGTTCCAGCAGGGAGCTCTGCTCTCAGACAGGGACAAGCTGTACTCTGGCACCCTGGCTTGCTGGAGCAGCACAGGATGCCAGCATAAAAGCTGCTTACACCTGAGATTTTTAGCCTCAGGAGCTGGTTGGTACAGCTCTCACTTAGGGTGCCTGAGTTGTGCCTTATTAACTGTCATCCAACCCCCCACAAAAAACAACTCATAGCTGTCAAGCAGGCCCTTTTCTGGTGCCATCCCTGTTCTAGTCATGTTTGAGTTGAATGGCAGGTGCTCATCCTGTGGGCACTGGCTCCACTGTGTGCCATCAGTGAGCTCTTTTTAGGGCTGTGAGAGCCGGGTCTACAGTAGAGAAGGCTGCAGCGGGTGCCTGTGTGCCGTTGTCCTGCTGCTCCCATGCAGGATCTCTTGGCCACCCTGCTGGTGCCAGCTACATCTCTGTAGCTGTTGGAACCTGGCACTAGAATTGGTACTTTTTGTAACCCTCCATCCTGCTGGGCCCTGGCTGCTCCATGTGGGTGGCAGATGTAGCACAGTGGATTGTTTGGTCTCTGAAATTGCTGGCAATTGCAGTGCAGGGTCTTTCCCCCCCAGCAGCACCCTGAGCAGCTGACAAGCTAGCAGCGTGCCACTGAACCCAGCACAGTGCACACAAGGATGGCCCATGTGGCTGAGCTGAGAGGAGTGGCCTCCCTAGGAAGCCACTGGGGGATTCAGTTTGTCTTTGCTGTTCTATGATGAAAAGATGCATCTCAGAGCCAGCTGTGCCTCCAGGCAGGGCACAGGACTCCTAGATGCAGGATGCAAAAGCACCATGATGCAAAAGCCTGGGCAAAACCCTGAAGTACTCTTGGCAACACAGGGTAGACTGGGAGCAACCCCAACCTGAGCCCACTGTGTGGGCTGCTGCAGGGAACCCAGCATGAGGCTGCTTTCTGCCTTCACTTGTCCTGCTGCATACTGTGCCTCCAGGGGGAAGGAACAATGTGAACAGTGGCTGTTGAACAGGATGGGATTCAGCCTACTGCCAGCAGGAAATTTCACCACTGCTCCAAACTCAGCTGTGGCTCTCAGCATAGCTGAGTGCCACCCCCTGCACAGGGCTCGGGACAGAACTGTGGTGCACAGAAAAGGGGGCTGCAGGGGACAGCAGTGCCTGACAGCCCCCTCCTTTTGGCAGGTACCCACATCATCTACGACCGCAAGTTCCTGCTGGAGTGCAAGAATTCGCCCGGGGCCAGGACCCTTCCCTGCTGCCCGCCCCAGATCCCCGGTGTCACCTCCCTGGCCCAGTCCAGCCTCGTCAAGCTGGAGGAGCACAAGGAGCAGAATGAGAGTGAAGAGGCCATGCCAGGTAAGCAGCCCAGGTGGGTGGTACAGCCCCTGCCTAAGGGGGACCAGGCCAACAGTGCCTGGGGCATGGGGCTCCTGCCTGGCCACAGGGGCAAGGGTGGGAGATTGCAGCTCAGCCTTGGGCTGTTCCAGCCACTTGTCTGCATGTTCCCCTGCATGTTGGAGGAGCCCCATCCTAACCCATGTCTGTATCCATCCATACCCTTACAGATCAAGACCAGTGTGACATGGACATCTGAGTTTCCAGCTTCATGTCTCCAGGCTGTGGCTGGGCCTGTTCCTGGGCCTTGTGGAGGTGCTGGCACCGTGACCAGCTGGCTGCAGCCCTCTCTGATGCTGGGGATGAATGTGTGACACCTCAGGCTCTAGCACAACTAGCTGGTGCAACTGCCTAGGAGCTCATGCTTGATTAATAAACACCATGAAACCCCATTGCTGAACTGGTAGATCTCTCCATTGGTCCTCAGTGCACCAGGGAGGGAGGCTTAGAGAATCTGAGCAGCGCTAGGTGACTTTTCAGAGTGCAGAGGTACCTCCCTTCTGCAAACGAGATCCTGCACGTGAATGTAGGAATTCAAAGTTATGTCAGCAACAGCTCCAACTACCTCAGCAGTACAAGCTAACATCGGGGCACAGCCCATTGTACACCCTTGCTGCTGCTGCCACTCATGTCCCTCACTGTCCCAGCTGTGGTTGGGGCAGTGCTGGCAGGCACGTGATGGAGTGGTGGGGCAGGGGCTGCTTGCTCTACAGCATCTGTGGAGCACTTGGCCTGGAGTGTCATGATGGTTCTACACCAGCTCTGAGGCTGCCTGGGGTGGTTCCCATTTCCCCTCTCCCGACGCTCCCTGCAGCTGACCTGGGCTCTGGCTCTGCTGCAGCAACTCACCCCCGTGTTGCCATATCTGAGGCTGGAGGGGGCCAGTGGGGCAGGGACGAGCATCGCTGCTGTCACAGCCAGCTGCAGTGCAGCCTCTGTGCTACAGGGTGGAACTGCTTCCCACACTGGGCTTGCACAGCCTGCAACCAACAGCTGAGGCTGCTGCAAGCCCCCACGCAGCAGCTCTGTACCCGGAGAAAGGGATTGGGGACAGATTAGCGCTGTTTATTGAGCATCATGTAGTGAATCACCACCGATATGTTGCAGTGATTAAAATTCCCCTTTTCTGTGAGAAAAGTGAGAGGCAAAAGCATCGCCCGGGTCCCGAGCTTTCCTCCTCCAGCCGCCCTGCTTAGTCCACAGCTCCGGGTGGTGCGGGCATCTCTGGCCCGGGTGAGACTGTGTTGTCGTCCTCGCCCAGCTCGGCTGTGGGCAGGGTCCTGCACTCGGCGATCAACCGCTTGACGCCCACCAGCCACAGGCTCACCTCGTTCACGTGGTCCACCATCAGCGAGCGGTGGATCTCGTCGGCCGCGTCCCAGCGGCGCCGCTCCAGCTCTGCCGCGAAGAGGAAACCGTCGGCGTCCCGCGGCCGCTCCGCGCGACTGCGCTCCGGGCGCCCCCGCCCTCACCTTGCACCAGGAGGGCCATCCTCCTCCTCACGGGGGCCGACAGCTTCCCCTGGGCCCACGCGTCCCCAAGCGCCGTCAGCCGCCGCCCGATGTCATCGCACACTTGTTTCTGAAAGCAGCGGTACCCGCTGGACGGGGCTCCGCCGGCGGACGGCCCCGGGGAGGGACGGCGCCGGGGACGGCTGCGAGCGGAGAGCGGCGGGGCCTCACCTTCACGGCGGGGCGGCACGCGGACAGCGCCTCCCGCAGCGGGACCAGCACGGCGTCGGCGGGAACCTCCCCGCCCGCGGCACCGCCTTCCTCGCCGGGCGCGGGGCTCGGGGCGCCGCGGGCGCTCGGGGCGGGGCCGGGAGGAGCCAACGGCGGCGCTCCCGGCGCCGCGGGGGGGCGGTCCAGAGGAGCACCTGCAGGGAACGGAGCGGCGCGGGGCGCTCAGGGCCGGGGCCGCCCGCGGGGCCGACGTCGCCGCCGCCGCACGAGAGCGCCGCGGCCCCACCCTTCCCGGCTGTGCAGCACTGACCTGCGGGGGGGCCCAGCGGAGCGCTCGGCGCCCGGCGACTGAGCGGGGTCCGCCCGCGGCCCGCGGCCCGCGCCTGAAGCCCGTAGGAGAACTGCGGAGGGTCGTTCCAGCCGCGCTGCGTGTTCCCTACAGGAGGGAGAGGAGGCCGCGGAGGCAGCGGTGAGAGACGGCACGGCACGGCACGGCACGGCACGGCACGGCACGGCACGGCACGGCTCGGCCGCCCCTCTCCCTCCGCCGCCCCCGCCCCGGAAGCGCATCCCCCCCGCGCCGCGGCCCTCACCCGGCTTCACGTAGAGCTCCGCCATGGCGCCACGTCACCGCGCCGCGCCGCGCCCCTCCCGCTCGGCGCCACGGCGAGGCGGAACCGAGGGCGGAACCGAGGGCGGAACCGAGGGCGGAACCGA